ATTTTTCTGATATTTTTTTGTTTTAAAGGGGAAACCGCCTTAGATGTAGAGTCTTAGGGGGCATGAAATTTACCTTTATGAATGAGCTTTTTGAGGTATCATTAAGCTTGATAGTATTCCTGATACTCCTCTTTCCCAATTTCTCATTCTTTCTCTTGAGTGACTGAAAATTATGTTGATCCTCCATCTCCAGCATTTTTGCATATATCTGTCGATACAAACTTAAGAGAGAATGCATGAGGTATGAACATAAAGGTTTGAGTTAAGGGTATGGTATCAGCTAAAGATGAACTGGCCATCTAGGACAATAAAGAATGGTAAAATAAGGTAAAGATGTCCTAGATGTATATCATGATGCATTCCTAAAACCAATGATGAGAAAATTAGATGTCAAGATTAAGTTCAAGTAAAATGAGCTAGTATATCTTGTCAGAAAGAATCTCCATGGATAGAAATCTTCTGGTGGGAGTTTGTAGTGCAAGTACTCTAGCTACCGCCAAATCTAGTACTAACCACAAAAAAAACTATCATGTAGAGTCTAGAAGCACATGGTTCTTACTCATCATAGTTTTGTGTCAAACATTCCTGAAAAACACTAAAGTTCTTTTAATAAGCATAGAAAAGTTTTAATAAATTGCAGAAAAAAAATAAGAAACAAAGAAAATAAATCAGTACAGATAGACATCCTCCCCCAAACTTAAATTATATTGTCCCCAGTGTGTAAAAGTTGGTGAGAAGATGGTGAATAAAAGCAAAAGACTCTAAAATAAAATATAAAAAAATGATGATAGAATCGTGGGTATGGCGTGGTGATGGATAAGAGCCTATGTCTCGCGGCTGCTGTCTGACTCTGTGGCAGAAGGATCATCATCAAACCTGTGGTTCTTCTTCAGGAACTTCTTCATGTGCCTGTTGATCCCTTCCTTCTGGTCCAGCTTCTTCTTCAATGCTGAAATGTCTGAATCGCTCCTAGTGGGTGCTCTAGTGTGAGAGGAGCTGTGAGTCTCTGGTCTCCATCCTGGGTCTGCTCCATCTCGGATTCAGGGTACTGAATTTGATGGTAGGAGAACTTTGTACGCAGATGTATTGGTACAGAAATTGTAAGCAAATCCAATGGGATCCATCTTGGCTCTGGAAAATAGTCCTGTCTTTAGAAAACTGGGATAGATTGAACCAATCTTCCTGATGCAATCATAAGCGATGTAATGATGCTGCCAAAGGCTGGTGAGAAGTCTTGGCACTTGGAAGTAATCATCTCATGCTTAACCTTCACTAGGTTCTTGCCAATGATGCAAGCAAAGCAGGGGAACCGTGGATGATCTGTGAAAGGGAGCTGAAGTGTCACCAGCTCGGGTTTGAGCATATTCACCTGTTTGGCTCTGGAAAAAATAGTGTGTGCCAACAACTTATGCACATATCAAACTGCAGGGTGAGAGAGAAGTGAAGCTTTGGATTTTCCTTTGTCATATACTCCATGACGCATGAATCTCCATAGATCCTCATCTCGATCTTTCTCCAAAGCAATCTATTCATAGTATGGCAACTTCAAAGCTTCACGCATCTCCAAAAATGGTAAGAGAATAGAGATGTCCTCCAATAGAGAATGAAAGTGTACCATCTAGAGCTCTAGGAGTAGCTCTCTTCTTGTAGCAAAATGTCACTGATGCTAGGAACTCTCCGGTGTGGCTCTCATAAGTCGGAAAGTTCTGCTACATGAATGATCTGATTCCAAGCTTATCAAGGTACCATATCGCATCCTCTCTGATTCAAAGCATCTCAAGAGAAGAGTAATCAATTGCTGGAGTTGGTTTGATCTTCAGCTTCTCAAGGTTCTCCAAGTAGTTGATGTCTGGATTAATTGCCTGACCAACAAACTTCACCTTTGGTCTAGAAGAAGACTTGGCTCTCTAAGGTACTGATCTTTGAGTGGAGGCCCTCTCGATCACTCCCAAAAAGATTCTTCTCTGCGCAGATATGAAGGAGTAGAAAGCTTCATCATCGCTCAGCTGCGTCTCGTTCAAGGCATCATATTTCTCTTGGGGGTGAGGATTCTTTTCATGAGGACTATATGAGACGTGCTCGGGAAAGTTCCAGGACCTGCAAAACATAATTCTCGAGAAAAAGAATGAATGAGGCTGTATTTGAATCGATTTTAATGAGCAAAGATGTTCATACAGCTATCACAAACATATTCAAATGACAAATAAACTGTAATTGCATCGAAAATGGCAAAATTCTGGGAGTTCCTGGTCGAGTTCGGGATAGTGATGCTCTGCACATGAGATTTTCAAAATAAGATGATTTAAATGCTCATTCATATGTAATCTAATCATATTATCTATCAACAGTAACTCACTAATCCAGATTTGCCAATGCTAAACGAAACAGTTCTCCAAATTTGATTTTCTCAAGTGTTCAAATCTCAGATTTTGAAAATCACAAATCTATAGATTCTAGGTGTTAAATCATGCAATTAAACTACCCTGAAGTCTAGTCTTGAGCTCAAAGACAATCGCCAATCATCTTAAAGTGAATTCCCACTGATTCTAAGAAACCCTAAATTTAAGTTCATGTGAAAAAGTGAAGAATTTGGATCCATACCTTGATGAGAGTGTAATGTGATGATAGATTTGGAATCTCCTTTGAAAAAGAGAGAGACAGAATCAAAAATTTGAAGAAAATTGTCAAGTTTGAAATTTGGTCTTTTCTCAAAATCTCCAAGCTTGTAGAAGAAGATGATGAAAAAAAGTGTTTTGATATTTGAAATCCTTTTTTCTTTTAAAAATATCTTTTTCCTAAGAAAATTTGATTTTATAAGTTTTTAGGGACTTACCTTGATGTGTATGGCACGAAAAAGTTGTTCCAGGAACTTTCCGATTTGATTCCGGAATGAATCAGAATTTTAAAATTCTAGTTTACGGGAAATCGAGAAAACAAGTTGGGAAAGGAAAAATGGCTCGGCCGCGGGTGTGATCATCGCGGCCGCGGCAGATGATGGTTTTACCGTGGTTTGGAGACTTGGACCGCAGCAAAATGTGGCCTGGTCGCGGCTGAGGTGATCGCGGCCGCGACAAATGGCCCTAGCCTTTTCCCGCTTCTCTCCGGTTTCTTCCTCCTATCTTTTTGTATTTCTGGTTTTTTTAATGCTTTTGGTTTTTCTGGATTTTATGAAAGCCTGAAATGCATAAAAAGAAAAAGATCAAATAGAAAAGAAATAAAAAAGAAAGAAAAATATGCTAAATAGTTGCCTTCCATCAAGCGCTTTTGTTTGAAGTCTTTTAGCTAGACTTTTGGCGGGATCAGGATTAAGAAGAAGAAGAAGGATCTCTTGGAATAAGAGTCCTTGGAATCCTCTTGAGCTTGAACTTTGTAACTCCTTCATCTTGAATCACAATCTCCTTTCCTTTCTTAAAGATTTTTGCATCCTTGAGGACATGTTTTGTCTTCTCCACAATTCATCGAAGGATTGCTTTCTTCTCCTTGCTGATATCTGGTGGTACCATTATCTTGATCTTTGCAAACTGCTTAGATGCAAGTGCTTTTAGTTCCTTTTTGTTCTCCAAAAATTTCTCCTTGAGCTTATCCTTGCGGATTGGAGCTTGATCCAGTGTAGTTTTGTAGAAATTTTTCCTGTCCACATTTAAGAAAACTAAACAGCGATTTGCATGGTCAATGATAGCACCTACAGTTTCTAAGAATGGGCGACCAAATATCAAAGGTCTTTCTTTTTCATGGTCCATCTCTAAGAGTTAGAAATCAGCTGGAATGATCTTATCTCCAATGACCAATGACAGGTTCTGAATCATTCCTTATGTTCTCTTTTGAGATGAATTGCCAAAGACTATCCTTACTGGAGATGGGACAAGTTTTCCTATACCAACTCTCTCAGCAACAGATTTTGACATAATGCTCACATTAGCACCGGAATCACATAAACAATCTGAAAATTCAATTCCAGAAATAGAGCAAGTGAAAGAAAAACGCCCTGGATCCTTAGACTTTTTGAGTCTTTGGACAGGTAAAGGTTTTGTTACCTTAACCAAAATGTTCTGACCTCCTTCATACTCGGGTTTTGAATCTTTTATGAGAGGTTCATGGTTTGACTTCTCCTTAGAGTCTGTGGCTGGTTCCTATTCCTGGACTGCTGTCATGGCGTTGCAGAACTCCTTGGATTATCCTCCACTCTTCCTGGCAAAACTTCTGCCTGCCTTTTCATTGAATCTGCAGTCTGACCTATCTGTAGTTCCAACTTCTTGACATGGGTTGCAAGAGATTCAAACTTCCATTCAAGTCGTACATACAATCGATCCTTACTCCCATCTATCTAAACGATTTCTCATTACTCTTTGATGTCTGCATCACGTTTTGTTCAAGTGATTTCACTTGATTGCTCAGCTGAGAGGGGTGCTTCTAATGAGTTGGTCTGTGCTAGTTGAGGATTGAAAGGTGTTCTTTGTTGGAAATTTCCTCCTCCATAGTTTCCGTTTTGAAACTTGTTTGGAAAATTCCTCTGCATCTGCGGATAGGGCTGGTTCTAGGGATTCTCAGCTCCTTGACTTCGGTATGAACGGTTGTTGAAGTTGGCATTCCTGAAATTATGGCTGAAAGCTGGATTGAATCGGCTCTGATATGTCCCTTGTGCTTCAACGAAATTCACCTCCTCCTCTTGAAAATATATGCCATCATCTTCATATCCTCCATCTTCTTAATTACCTACAGCAGTATCACAAGTATGTATATTCTTGTTTTGAGATTTAAGAAGTTGACTTACCATGCTTTTTAGCTCAGCAATCTCCATTGACTCATGACTAATGATAGTCTTCTTTGATCTGTCATACTCGGGATTGTTGTTGCTATTGGCTACAACTAGATTTTCAATGAGTGCTCTCCCTTGTATCACAGTCTTTGAACCGAAATCTCCATTACTGGCAGTGTCAAGAGAAAATTGATACTTCTGCTGAAATCCTATTTAGAAGGTGCTTAGCAGGTTTTCTCCAGAGAAACCATGATGATGGCAATGTCTCTCATATTCCTTGAATCATTTCCATGCCTCGTAGAATGATTCGACGGAGCCTCGTTGGAAACTTTGGATCTTGTTTCTCAGCTAGTTCGATCTTGACTTGGTGTAAAAGTGGTTCAGAAAAACTGACTTGCATTCTTCCCATGAAGTAATAGAGCTAGATGGCATAGACTTCAACCATCTAAATGCTTTATTACTTAGAGAGAAAGGGAAAAGCTTACACTTCACATAATCTATAGAACCTGGAGTGGTTTTTACCATGCCACAGATTTCTTCAATAAGATCTATGTGATCCATAGGATGCTTAGTAGAGTTTTCATGGAATTGATTTTGCTTCACCATGGAGACAACCTGTTGTTTTATCTCGAAATCACCCTTTGCTGGCACATGTACTTGAATAGCTGATCAATTTTGAAAGTGTTGGTGAGATGCATCAGAATCGGCAATGAGTCTATTGCGGATCTGTCTTCTTGCAGGATTGACAAGTTGTATAGGTCAATTTTCTCCTCATCCATTAGGTGGAACAATGTTTTCATCATTCCTTTTCTCTTCGGGATTGGCCTAGTCTTGTCTCCTTTGGTTATCAGCAGCATGTCTAGGGAGTTGATTTTCCTCTCCATTTAGCAGGGGCTGGTCATCTGCTTCATGAGCAGAATCTCGGTCATTATTGTGATTAGAATCACGATCATCATCATCTCCATCGTGACCCTCTTGATCACAGTTTAGATGATTTTCCCGATAGGCATCTGGATCGGCCATCTTGAACATTCTTCTTCTGAGTCTCCGAAGTTCTCTTTGGTGTTTGTCAATCTCGTCTAGGGACGATACAATGTTGACAGGATTTCTCCTAGTTTTCATGCACCTAAGAGCAAAGAAAGCAAAGATAAAAAGAGAAGTTAGAAAAACTCCAGCAGAACTCGAAAGTCTTGTGGTCTAGAATTGAAAGTAGATTAAAAAATCAAATCAACAACAGAAACATCCCTGAAAACGGCGCCAAAAACTTGATGTGGGTGCAGTGGGAAACTACAAGTTTTACCCTAAACAAAGCTGCAAGTGCACAGCAAACGCAGTAGTACTTAGGGATCGAATCTTTGTGTGTTGAGGACTCCTAACTGATGCTAAAATCAATTGTAGACCTAATCAGATTAAAAACGGGTTTTGATTGTCACTGAATCTAAATAACTAAGCAGGAAATTAAAAAGCTTGAAAAATCAATTTGAAAACTATATGAAAAACGGCGCTGGGCTTAGGGTTCATCTCTAGGGTTCATGATCTATGACACAAGGAATCTAGGTAAGGATTTTCTATGATTCTGAAACTAGGATAAACACTTATAAGATTAACCAACTCTCGTCATCCTAACCATCTAATCACTTAATCTCGGCAATTAACTCTCGCTCTCATGCCGGAAAAAGATCATGCATTTCAGATCGCAATCCATCTCGACTTACGTAACCTCCATAGGTAGCTTTCGTCCCCTACGACGGAGACATGCATAAGATCCAGTTCAGGTAACCCAGATACAACACTCTCGTTGCTCGGATTCAACCTTGGATCAGACTCTGAGTGACCAATCCAGAGAACCGCTTTGATATTGGGATGAATGGGATCCCCTTTGATGGTCCTTTCACCCAACAAGGTGACTACTCAGACATGGCTGAGCTTGACATCATCATTGGTTTAAGAATGAAAAAGCAATAAAGTAGAGAAACAAAAGATGCAGAAAAACTTCTCTGATTGAAGACAATGTTAGCGATGAAAAGCTTCTACAATTGCATAAAAGTAAAACCTAAAACTAAGATGAAGTTCTCTCTTAAAGAGATGAAAGAGGCTTGGTTACAATAGACCTACAAAAGAGTATTTATACTGTTTCCTCTCTTCTGGGCGTCTAAGGCTTGTAAAATGAGTGCAGAGAATGACTTGGGCCTTAGATGGGATTCTGTGATTCGGATAGAAGTCCACCACGGGTGAAGGGGCTGAGCGACGGTGGAGGGGGGCTTTGCCGCGGGTGAAAGCTCATGTACCTTCCCGGACTGTGTTGATTAACCTTCAGTGCATTGATGATATCTGAAGATCTAACCGTTGAATTGCATTGATTCCAAGTGTGTTGGAAAGCTGTTTGTATATTATTTAATATTTCCAAATTTGGGGATGATCAGACAGTCAGAATGTCTTCTTTGGTGGCCAAACTTCTGAAGGCCTGAATATATCCAAAAATGTATTTTTGCTCCAAAATGCACTCCAAGAATCCAAGTTTCCTGAAAAGTCATTTAAAACTCCAAAACATGGAAACCACTTATGAACCCTTAAAACTGAGTGAAAACACCTGAATAATATGATCCATAAAAATGGTCAAAAACCAGGTGGTATCAGCCTTCCCCTCCACTGATTCCTTCTTACATCTGGCTTTTGCGGCTTTAACACTAGGAGGTCGGATGGTTGTCTAATCAGCTTCGAAAGTCTTGTTTCCCTCTGCATTAGAACTTGATGATAGTGCACCATCCTCAGACCTCCTCCTTTTACAGCTTCCATAGGTTTTAGTAGCCCTAACAGACTCACCGGAAGCTGATTCATCACCTCTGTAAACAAAGAATATGGTCGAGCTTCAATATATCGATATCCTCCACCTGTGTAAACATGTTTGCCTTCAACATGTTCAAACTTCCCACCATAGAAACACCCAAATGTTATCGGCCTCTCGCCTTCACCACTGCAGGAAGTGACCAAAATCATCTTTAAACCAACACTAATTTCAACTAAGAACGCAGAATTACACAAACAAGATTGACTTACCTCATTGTTGATACTGAGAAAGACTCGGAACTCGGATATTCGGCTACTTCTAACGCAAAATCGAAATGGACTAACTCGCAACTACCAATTCTTCGACTGAAATCATCCCCTTTGCGAAATCATCTCCTCTGCGAAATCACCTCACTATGAAATCATTGATTATCTCGTTCTACCCAAATATCGAACCCTAATTTTAATTTTTCTCCAAATTGCAAACGACGTTGTTTTGTCTCTTCGGATTTGGTAAATTTAGATGATACGACGTCGTTTTGCATCATTAATTAAAAAAAAAAATTAAAAATCAAACCGGATAAAACTGGTTTTACACCTGCCTGCCACGTCAGAAACCGTTGACGGTCATCTAACACCGTCTGCGGTTTTGTAGTTATGGACCAAAAAACGGTAGTTCGTGAGGTGTTAGGCATGGCTTGATAGTTGGTGTATGGACTCTCAGAAGTCATATAGTTCGTGGGGGAATAGACCGTTTTCCCAAGAAGAATAACTCCATGTACTTTGGTACTTGTATTTGCTTCAACATAAATATAAGAAAAAAGAAAAGGGGACTTATATGAAGTTAGATTTAAAAAGATTTTAGTTGATTTTGGAAAATCATAAAATTTATTAAATTTTTAGAGTTTGGTTAGATTTGTAAAACTTACAGAGAGTTTTGTGGATTTAAATAATTCACAAAATATTTTTAATATGACAAACTTTGAGAATTTTGAGGGATACTAGTTAACTTTCCCGAACCTTGCGCGGGCTCATATAACTTTCCATTTGGTTGTTTGGAAATCTAGTAGTAGTTTGAATTCATTTGTTTTTTTATTCTCTATTGTTGAATATATTTGTAAGTTAGATTTCTTTGCATTTTAATGTTTAAAAACATGATCAAGAAAATAATATAAAAAAGAGTAAATAAAAACATATTAGTATTCAAATAATTTAGTTTAAATAGTTTTGAGATCTTTTGATCATTGTTCTATGTATTTTAGATGAAGCTTTTTTAAGTACCGTACAAACTTATTCGATTTTGATCACTATTTTATGTATTTTAGACATCACAAATACCATCATTTCATTAAACATTCCATTGATTGATTTTTACTTTTTCGTTAAATTTGACTAAATATCAGTTTTATTAAATTTGAAAAATGGTATTGACAATAAAGTGAAGTAGTAAGCCATAATAATTTAGACTGATATGATTTAAGTTATTTCTTATTTAATACTTGTTTATAAAACATTATGTTTACCTGATGACTTCATTAGTTTTCAGTTAGAACGAAGAAGAAAGAAAGATTAAACAATTTTGAAAGTTGTGAAAGAATTAGAGAAAAGTGGCTGATATTTATACTAAATCATAAGAAATCGAAAACCCTATAAACATAGAAAATTGTAAAAACGTTTTTGTTTAATTTTTTCTAAATTTCGATTTTATAGCATTAAACCATAATAATTTAAACCGGTTTGTTTTAAATTTATTTACCAATAAAAAATGACATGTAATTGCAAAATGGGGATATACAGTCTTTTTGTAGCCGAAACTCATTCTAGAGCTGACACGTAAGCGAAATTTTGTGAAACTCGATGTGAGTGCGATACCTAAGCAAATCACTACAAAAATAAGTATATAGATATGTAGTATTTTAAAAATAATGATTTATAAATTAAATTATAGAAAATTATTATCCCAATAACACTAGATTATAACAGAATCATATAATCATTAAAATACAAACTTTTTGAATAACAATGAATTTTGATTAGATTATAAAATCATAAAACCAATAACAATGAATTTTTATAATTTGTAAACGAATAACAAAGAAATCTATTAAGAATTTAAAAAATCCACAAACTATTAACCATAGAATTTGAAACTCTAAAAATATTCATAAGTCAACATCCAAATAACCCCTCCCCCCCCCCCCCCAAAGTGTTGCAGTGTTGTATTTTTCCCTTTTTACTTTTGATTTGGAGATTTAGGGAAATCAAATTAGGGATTTTTGCAAAATTAGGTTTAAACAAATTGTAACTCAGATCTAGATATTTTAAGAGAAAATTAAAACAACGTCGTTTTACTTACCTGATATTTTGAATGGTTTTTTTAACGATTTTTCTTTTTAACTCCGTTATATTCATTATGTTAAGTAACTTACGACATTACTAATTTAGTTCAGTCAACAAAAAAATATGTGATTGAAATAAAAGTCGATATAAGTTGATGATTTAAAATGTCCATGTGACAGTTCATGCTTTAAATCGCAAAAATTTAAAAGTTCATGATTTTTTTTGACAATTTTCCTAATTTATAATCAATATTGCTATCTTTTTTAGTGCATTGGATTATCTATATTCACTGTTTTATATATGTAAATGACAAAAATAAAAACAGAGGATCTATATTTTTAGATTTGAAATAAGTTTTCATATGTAAATCATAAAGAGAAAAACAAAAGATACAAAAAGTTAATTTTGCAATGTATATATAGATGGGTCGCTTTGCATTTTGACTCAAATGTTATGACTCATTTTTATTTTACAACTCCACCTATTTAGAAAGGTTTTTTTTGTGTGGATTTAATATATACGACTTTCTAAATAGTGAATAGCAGGGAACCCTTAATCAAAGCATTTGTATGTACCATATGCAGAATTACATGCCCAATAATATCAGGAAACCAATATTATGATCTATAAAAAAATCCAAGATGTGCAACTTATGCATTAGTGTAAGTGTGAACCTCCGACCCGTCTACCAGACGAACCGGACTATTCACCTTTGGTTCTAACCGGTTTACTATATTTGTTATGCTAAATAAACATATTACTGAATAATACTCTTATTCATCTATGAAAAATCAAGTTTTGCAATTAAAATCCATAACTTATTCTTAAAAATAAACTGAAACAAAAGACTAAGAAATCTCTTAAAAAGAAGTACTGAAAAACGAATTAAAAAGAAGGAAAACCCGTCCCTAAAGCACACCATTTAGGACTCTTCTTCCTCGTATACATGAAGTTCATAATCTTCATACTCACCTAAAAATTAGAGATTTGAGAGGGGTGAGTAATTTGGGAAAATTATTTAGTGAGAAATAAATTCACACTCCCATTACAATATCCATTCATTTCCAATATACAGTAAAAATTCTATAAATATCCATTCATTTCCAATATACAGTAAAAAATCTATAAATTAATAATGTTAGAACTTTGATATTTTATTAATTTACAGAGTTATTAACTTATAGATTTCATATAAAAATTATTTTTGTTTTTTTATTAATTTTAAAAGAGACTTTTAAAAGATTATAATTTTAAAATAATTCTTTCTAATATTAAAGAGGAGTTTTAAGAAGACTTTAAGTTAAAATAACTAAAAACATCACTAACTCGTATTTTAGTAGATTATCTCATTTATATGTTTATATCATACCTTATTTATAGTAATTATATGATTGTAATGGAACCATATATTTACATAGGAGTTTTGTTTAAATTATTATCTTATTATCTTATCGAATTGTGTTATATTTTGAATTGGCCCAACTCGAAACCATGAAAATTTATTAATTTATAGTGTTTATTAATTTATCAAGTATTAATTTATAGAGTTTCTATTGTATCAAGCCTAAAACTAAACAATCAACAAGCAGTAATCTACAAGCACACAAACAAAGCAAGCACAAACAAAGACATTCAACGTGGTTCGCCTCAACCACCAAGCGATGTGATTCATCCTATATTCCAGGCATGAACCCCAGCAAACAATAACCTAACCATTGTGCCGTTACACAGGTCGATCACCTATCTCTAGCTTATTACAATCATTAGGCAATCAATCAGGTGATCAAACAATTATGCTGGTGATTCATCTAATGCTTTTCTTATCCGTTTGACTCTTTCATGACCTTTCTTAGATGCAGCAAATCAACTACCTGAATATATCTAGAATCAATACACCAAAAACGAACAAACACTATCCTAAGAATATGGATCTACTCCTCACCTTTGCCAATTTGCAGATCTGAATTAAGGAGACTGAGAATTAAGCGAATCAAGCAGACGACGAGAAGGCAGGGGCTCGCGACGGGATCTCCTCAGCTCAGCGGTGGCTTGCGGCGGCTAGGAGGCTTCGGATGGCGGCATCAGCTCGGGCAGAAGCAGCTCGGGCAATATCTCTCTCTCTCTTTCTGTGGCTGGGGGCTATTTTGCAGAGAATGAGGCTCCTTCCCTAGAATTTTCTCTTTTATAGAGGCAAAATTAGGGAATTGGGCCTCCTGCTGGGCTTTTGGATAGGCTGAGATGCTGTAAAACTTCTCTCTCTTCATTATCACGAACCTTTAAGAAAGAGAAAGATTTCTTTTGTTTTCGGATTTTATTCGGATATGTTGTTCGGATTGTGTTGTATTTTTTTTTTTTTAAAAAAAATCTTTGTCTTCTTCTTTTTTTCCTTTGCTGTCTTAGCCTCTTCTGGATTTGGATTCGTTTCCTCGGAAGAAGTCATTCTAAATCAATTTTCTTTAGATAACTTATGCCCGATTCTTCGTCTTGTGAGTGTAAATCTTTGCTTACCGTGATGGGCCTATAGATAGGTTATTAAGCAAAGTTTCTTAACGGATGAAAAATGTTTTTGGTTTGTTTCTACATCTGATTGCAAGATTTTAACTTTGGCTATCAAGTAGAAGATCCGGTTTTGAAGCTTTGGTGAGCTCGAAGGAAGGATTTTTAACAGTATATGAAACCGCCGAGAGTTGATGACTCGTGGAGTATTAGGAGCCAACATCGGTGGTGGTTGAAAATTTCTGGCGATAGCATTAAATCGATGATGGCGATGAACTTAGGGATGACTCAACTCGTCTAGATGCGTGATTGTTGTGTTGATACGTCTTTTGTTACATAACTGTATTTTCAGTTTTCTGCGTGTTTGCATTGGGCCTTTTGAGCGGTGTACCTGAACTTTGCTCGGTTGGACTTAATAAAAAAAGTTCACAGGAAATAATTGTTTCATGGAAATTCTTTATATTATGTATTATGTTAGACCAACCATCGATATGTTAGGTGCGTTACATATGTTGTTTTTTCTTTATCTTTGAATATATGTAATACACCAAACATATATTTAAAAAGCTGCTGAGCTAGCATCACTAGTAGATTACCACAACAAAGCAAGAGGGGCTTCTATTGTGCTTGTTTCACCAAATAAAGGAAGAGGGTTTTTAAAAAAAATAATTACAACAAATGAGGACTATTGAAGAAGCAAACACCACTAGTAGATTACCACAATAAGTTCACCCTATGGATGGATATAAACATCCACAAGATAAACCAAGCTCTGCTCCAAGGAGAATAAAAAAGAGAGAAATACTCTTGATCTTATACCTAGTCTAATTCTTATTGTTTCATCGCCAAAATCACAAAAATTAAGCTATCTATTTTACTTAGACAAAAATAAACTACCTACTTTACTAACTAGTTTAATAACTGAGATTATATTGTTTCTATTTGTCATTAGGAACTAGAAAGTGATACATTCCCTAAAAATATATAAATATAAACATATAACCGAATAACTAAGAACTAGGTGATACCCGCCCGCAATCACGCACAGAGTAAAATTATTATTGCAAAAATTTCATGTGATTTTAGATACAAAATATATGTTATAGTTGTTGGTGAAAGTATAAAATGATATTTAAGATCAGCTTGTATATGCTAAAACATGTAATACTTTTTATTTATTTTCAAATTTATGATGACTTTATTTATTTAAATTTGAGATTATTGAAAAATTAAATAATTAACAAATTA